ACACCCCCCCCCCCCTGCACACACACACACACACACCTTTCCCCCTGCAGTGGTTTCGTATGTAATTAATCTGTAAACGCGGGCACCGAGGTGAGGGCTGTGGAGGGTACGTCGGCTGTCTGTGCAGCCCACCCACACACCTGCACACGTACAGACGGCTTACATGTATGCATGAGGCACGCTCACACACAATTTCTTCTGGATTTAAATCCATATTCGATGAGCCCGTAGCGGTATTATTCAGGCTGTCAGAAAGCACTGTTAACACTTTGCGGTATGTGGGAAGCAAAGGGGAGGGGGTGATTTTCTCGCATAGGTGGTTTTGAAAAGGCTTGTTTGGTCTTTGAAAAGATACCCCTAATATTGCTGCTAGATTTCCAGCACTCATTTGCTGGTCTTTTTTTTTTTTTATTTTTTTTTTCAAGTGTGACAGGTTTATTTGCCTCCTTCCTTCCCCCCAGCCCCCAAGTCTGTACTAGCCAGAACATATTTCTAGCTGGCTGCTGCTGGCACAGAGGCTGTAGCAAAAGATGAGGATTTAAATTAAAAATCTAACCATTAAAGTGAAAGGCAGAGACACATAGTCAGGGACATTTTAGACTAGGAATTAATTTACAGATTGCCCCCTGGTTTAAAACGGGATTAAATAACTGCAGCACAGGGTTGGTTTTGTGTGTGTGATGAATAATAAAGTAATTATTTAATGAGGAGATACCAGCTCTTAAAATATTTCCTGCTGGAAGAATGCATTTTTATCCTTAGCAAGATTGCAACTCTGGACAGAGGCACCAGCCCTAAAATTATTACAGGCTAAGGAAAGCGTGCGTATGTATGTTGGATTTTCTGACAAGCCCTCCACTCCCTGTCATAATTATCCCGAGAATGTGGAAAATGTGAGTGTCCTCGTGTAACAGCGTTGCTACTGCATGATAAATTTGACATCTCAAATGCAAAACCTTAAAATCAGTAGATCTGTGGAAGAGAGAGGGGGAGTTGAAATAGGAATAGACCCCTTTAAACTTTCTGTGTTTTGCTGCTCCTAAGGCAGTGTTTATATGTAAGTATTTGCGAGTATGTTTTCACAGAGCATGTAACGTCGATACAAAATTCTAAATGCTTAGGTATTCACAGTTAGATGGAGATAACTTTAAATTAATGTGTGTTACAACTTACGATTCATCTGAAAGAAACATGTCTCCTACATTACCTTGGTATTGGGGTCCCACACTAGCGTCGTGTGCTATGCTTCTGTGTGGGGGTTGAACTTTTTTTTCTGTGCATCTATTTGTATGTTTTAGGGACACAAAAATAACGAGTAGACCTACTCTTATAAACAAATCACTCGGGTGCAGGAAGTAGAGCCTTTGCTTACTGTCTGATTCGACAATAAATACTCATTTTAAAGATGGGTCAAACTTTATGATAAGTAGATTCCTCACTTTTTTTGCAGGGATTTTTTGGAGGAATTGGACTTGCAATTGCTTTTATTAAGGAATACGTTTAGCAGCAAGTAAATACCAGAAGCTTTGGCTCATTTCCTTTCCAGCACTATGGAGCATTCAGCACAGTGACTTGACAAATATGTTTATTGTTAAACCTCAGCATCTAGCGATAAGGATATACCAGCTACATTGAGAGATGATGTACAGGAGAAAAGCGAATCGAGAACAGGCTCTTGGTCCTTCTAAGGGATCATAAATCACACAAAAGTAATTGAATAACAAGAGTACTACTGGTGATGGTGCGGGTAGGAGAGATGGCAAGCCAGAAACTCAAAGGACAGGGATTTGCACAACAAAAAGTGCAAGAGAGGAGGCAAACAGGTTGTCTTCAAAACCCTCTGCTTCACTAATGCTTTATTAGAAACCCCACTGACGTTAGTAATCTGTTGGCGATTTATTTTAATAGCTTTACAATGCACATTTGTTTTCTTTTTAATATTGTAGGTTTCCATTTAATTAAGCAGCTGAGAGGCATGAGTGTGGTGTTAGTGCTACTTCCTATGGTGCTGTTTGTTGTGCTTGCGGGGGCTCAGCGAGCTTGCCCCAAGAACTGCAGATGCGATGGCAAGATAGTGTACTGCGAATCTCATGCATTCAGAGACATCCCTCAGAATATTTCTGGAGGGTCTCAAGGCTTATCGTTACGGTACAACAGCATTCAGAAGCTTAAATCAAATCAGTTTGCGGGCCTGAATCAGCTCATATGGCTTTATCTTGACCATAATTACATCAGCTCCGTGGATGAGGATGCGTTTCAGGGGATCCGCAGGCTGAAGGAATTAATTCTAAGCTCCAACAAAATTACCCATCTGCACAACAAAACGTTTCACCCGGTCCCCAACCTCCGCAATCTGGACCTCTCGTACAACAAGTTGCAGGTGTTGCAGTCTGAGCAGTTCAAGGGCCTTCGTAAACTCTTGATCCTGCATTTGCGGTCCAACTCGCTGAAAACCGTGCCCATCCGAGTTTTCCAAGACTGCCGCAACCTTGACTTCCTGGATTTGGGCTACAACCGCCTGCGGAGCTTATCCCGTAATGCTTTCGCTGGCCTTTTGAAGTTGACAGAGCTCCACTTGGAGCACAACCAGTTTTCTAAGATCAACTTTGCCCACTTTCCACGCCTCTTCAACCTTCGCTCGATTTATTTGCAGTGGAATAGGATCCGGTCTATTAGCCAAGGGTTAACGTGGACTTGGAGTTCCTTGCACAACTTGGATTTATCAGGAAATGACATTACAGGGGTAGAGCCTGGGACCTTCCAGTGCCTCCCCAACCTGCAGAAGCTGAACCTGGATTCCAACAAACTCACCAACATCTCTCAGGAGACCATCAATACGTGGATCTCGCTCATCTCCATCACTCTGTCCGGAAATATGTGGGAATGTACTCGAAGCATTTGCCCGCTGTTTACTTGGCTTAAGAATTTCAAGGGAAATAAAGAAAGCACTATGATATGTGCAGGCCCTAAACACATCCAGGGTGAAAAAGTGAGCGATGCTGTGGAAACCTATAATATCTGTGCTGAAATCCAGGTGGTGATTACTGAAAGATCGTACCAGGCACCCAAAACCCCCCAGAGACCTGTCTTCATTCCTAAACCTACCATTTCCAAACTGGAAAGCAACCAGCTGACATCGGTTATGCCAAGCCCTTCTGCAGACCTCCCCACACCCGGAGTGGAACCAGAGTATGAGCACGTTTCCTTTCACAAAATAATCGCTGGGAGCGTGGCCCTCTTTCTTTCCGTGGCCATGATTTTGTTGGTTATCTACGTGTCGTGGAAGCGCTACCCAGCCAGCATGAAACAGCTCCAGCAGCACTCTCTCATGAAGAGGCGCAGGAAAAAGGCCCGAGAGTCTGAAAGGCAAATGAACTCCCCTTTACAGGAGTATTACGTGGACTACAAGCCAACAAACTCTGAGACCATGGATGTATCGGTTAATGGATCTGGGCCCTGCACGTATACCATCTCTGGCTCCAGGGAATGCGAGGTATGAACCATGATCCTCCTAAAACCATTTCAGCTGCTGGGAAGGAGAGGTAAATGCTCTTGAGGTGTCTCTAAACAGTAGAAAGATTAATGAGATTTTTTTTTTTTTTTGCTTTTGGGTTTGCTCAGTATGAAAGGTTATCTCATTAAATAACAACAGGGAAGCGATGGTGATTATTTTGAATAATTCAGACTTACTAAAAAAATAGATTAAGTTGAAGGAAACAACCATGGTAAAGGCATCTGGAGTGTTGTTCTCCTCCTGTTTGCACCCATTTTATTAGCAGTGCTACAAGAGAGTCATTTTTAATGTAGAAAAAGAGGAGTTTAAGAACCTTTTCTGTTTTAAAAATAAACATGGAAACCTCTTTACTCCAGACCCCATGTCAAATCTTGAGGGGTTTGTGGCCTATTTAAAGATAATGCCAAAGATTTTCTGCATTTTTTTCCTCTGGCTCAGGAGGAAACCAGGGGACGGCAGGACCGCAGCACAACCTTAGAGTTAGGCACGCGCGTTGTTTTCCTGGAGAGGCAGGAACACGCGAGCTGCCTTACTGAGCTCTTTAAGCTTGAGCCTTGTAAGGGCCCCGAGTCAAACGGTGCATTTGCAGATATCTGAGCTGGGAGATGGGGATTCTTGGTTTGTTTGTTTTTTTTTAAAAAAAAAATTATTTTAGTGATTGGTGAAGGCTTAGCTTGAGAGACAGCTTTACTGGAGTTAATAATTTCACACGCTTAAGGCCATGTTATGGTTTTGACTCTGCAACATGGGAAAGACAAATAGGAAAAGCTCTAGAAGACTGTTGTTAAACTTTGGCAAGAAAAGAATGTATTTTTTCATTGCTGTGCTGTCCAATGACTCTATTAATGCGTATGTAAGAAGTGTTTTTACTCGTGAATGCCATTACCTATTTATACCTGGTAAGGAGGATTTGCGCAATTACATTTCAGCACTTGTCACTTAATCCTGCACGTGAGGTGGTATTAGGGACCCTGGTTGATTTTGCTTCCTTGGTTGTGGGCATCCTACCTGAGAGTGCTTCGTGTGCCTGTTGAAATTTAGTCATATCCATTTATGCAAATTGGGTTTGACTGCGGTAGATTTTTGACGTCTTTGACAGCCGGGTGGTATGAAGGGTGCGTTAAAGATGAGCGGCGTTGAGCGGGCTGCAGTTCTAGGATCCTGATGGTTTAGAAGTGGATGTTTTCACTTTCTGACAATGGAGCATCTTCAAGATGTTTCATATTTGGCACCTGAAATCCCCAGCTCATTTTGGACCACGGAGCTAAGGGGAGGGGAAGGGGAAAAAAAAACCAAAAAACAACAAACACAAGAGGTGTATGTTTTGGGGTTGCTTTCTCTGGAGCAGTGTTGTCTTCAAAACCGAGAACCACCCGTCATACCCTTGTCATTTCTACCTCTATCATGTGAATGAAGGTGTGGAGGTTTGTTTCCTGTTAGCAGCACAAGTAGAAAGTCAGAGAAGCTAACAAAATTAGTTTGAATTTTCACTGGCTGTCCCAAAAATTTGACCTGAATGGCTGCCTCCTCTTCATACTCAAGTTTCAATAGCTTGAATAAAATGCTGTTTAATTTACACCGAGATGATATGGAAGGCAGCTGAATCTCCGCTATAACTGAAAGTCCATGTAATGGAACCATAATCTGTAACTGAATTTGGATCTTGATTGTAGTGCACAGAAGATGGAGAATGTGTGATGTTGTTGGGGAGACTGAAATTCGGATAATTTGGATTATGGCAGATAAATAAAAAGCTGAAGAGTCCTGCTAGGTCTAGTTACAGAAGGCCAATGTGGCATCATTTCTTCATGTCGATTGTTACACACAGCATTAAACACAAGGGGACCCCACTTCGCCTGGTTTCCAGGTGCTGTTGCTGCACCAGAACAATTTTATTCTGCTGCTCCGTTCAGGTTAAGTTAAGCCGGTGCACAGTGTTACAGACCTCAAGCTGCTTGTTGCGTTGTCTGTGGGATTCTTGGTTCCGGTGTAAGTCAGTAGGACTGTACTGAACACGAGGGTGACTGGTAGGAAGCACACTCTGTATTTGCATGGCGATTTAGTATGCATTGGCTATTAGCACGGAAGGCTTCGGGAGACAGAAAGCAGCAGATCATTGAAGGCACGTGTAGCAACCATAAGCCCCCACTGAAATACTATCTTCAGCTTGGATTTAACATTCTTTGTCTCCATAGCTACAAGGTTCCACTTGTGAAAGGATAGATATGCACTGTACAGTACTTAAAAATGGTAAGAAAAAAAAAATCCTCGGAGTGTCTTCAGCAGCGGAAAGGTTTTATGTTTGGGGAAAAATACCCAGAAAATGGAACATCTCAGTGTTTACTAATTTACCCTGATGTACATAGTTGTGAGAAAACTATTATTCTGTACAAGTGAGACATAGCTTGGGCCCATCCTCCCGTCGGTCTGACTTGCTCATTCACTGTGGTCAGAGTGAGCTTTCTCCCCAAAACAGAGCCCTGAGAGGGGAAAAATGAAGACAGGCAGGCTTTCGGAATTCATTGCTTACCAGTTTATTCATTTTCCTTTTGCCTACCCCCACCCACACCTGTAAGCAGCTAAGGTGTCCAAAACCTGTAGATCTTTCAGGAAAAAGTGGCTCAGTTCCATTTTAACCCAGAAAAGGTGCTGGAGCATCCTCTGTCGCTGATAACGTTGACTCCGTGGGGTGATAATGAACAGTTTCTGAGCCCGTGTGAGTGTGCCGTGTTCCCAGGGATGATTTTGGTTTTTAGAAGTATCCAGCTCATCCCTTCCATTAACTTGTTTTCCATGGCAGAACTGGCCTTGAAATAACACCCTTGGGTGTTCACGCAGGTTGTTTTTTTGGGGTTTTTTTTTGGCACAGCAGCCCCGCGCGCTGGCAGGGAGGGTGTTTGCTGTTGGTTTAAGTTCAGGGGGGTTTGCAGCATCTCACCGAGCCACGCAGGCGGGCCGGGGCGGCGTCGGGCGCTCACGCCGCAGGGAGGGGAGTTGTGGGGACGGTTTGTACGGCCGCTTTTTCCAAGTCCGTGCTTTATGAATTATTTCGTGTACTACAGAGAGAGCGCCAAAGTCAGGCTTGCTGTAAACGGGAGCAACTCTCTTGGCATCAGTGGGATTATAATCACTGACACCTGGCCTATGGTATTCTATTTAGTCTATTGGCAAAGGCTTCTAAAATAACTGGATGCTTATGATTTTGGCTCCCACCATCCAGTTAGCAGACTGCTGCTATCTCATGTTGGTATTTGCTTTGCTTTGTGCATGTGCATCTTATTCCCTCTCTCTTTCACATTTATTTGTACATTTGCTGAAGATCTGGGAGCCATAAAAAGCAATTTCATAAACCAAGCTATAATATCACGTATTTCATACATATCGCAGACAAAATATCTGTATATAGCGCACTATGAAGGTATATGGGGAGAAGGAACATTGCTACAAAACCGTTTCCTGCTTTCCACTGGAAGGTTATTCATCTCCTCTTTCTCAGGCTGGCAGTTACAAACCAAACAACAACCAGCCAAACAAGTGAACATCTTTTCTGTGTTAACTGAGCACAGCTGATGTGAAGCCCTTTGAGAGACGGCTGACACAGACCCTGCGAGGTTACTTTTTACACTTTTCGCCTCTCGATGTCTAACAATACCCCAGCGCTTGACAAACCAACCCACCTGCTCACAGGCAAGTGCATCTCTGCGGTGATGCTCCCGTGGTTTCCATTGGAGGGAAAACCAGGGCAGTGGCCACTTGTATTTGTACATGCTAAATCAGTCACGCACAATTACGTTCACTTGAAATTCCGATTCCTCCCCTCTTGCCGGTGGGAAGAAATAGATTGATAAAGGAGTGCAACTTGTGCAGGCTTGGTGGGCTGCTCTTGACCTCCTCCCTTTGAGCCTAATTTAAAAGGAAATGTTGGCATGCAACTCTTGTTTATTATTTATTTGTTAAGCACCATTACTGGGTTGTTTTGAACAAGATGCAGAAAGGAAAAAACAAAATAATCTCCATGGCCCAGATACAGTTTAGTCCAAGGTTCAGGTTCTGCAAGGACATTCGTGGTTCTGTAACTCAACTTTGGAAGGGCTGCCCAGGGGTGTGTGTGAGCTCACAGGCTATTGCAACCCCATGAGAGAAGTCACGTAATGACTGGCAGATTTTTTCAGATTTTTTTTCTTTTTTCCCTTTTTTTTTTTTTTAAGAGCAGTGATCTTATTTCCTTTGCTCATCATCCTTATGCTTTTATAAGGATTACTTAACAAGGCCTTCATGGCAGAGCTGTTAGTTGGTCCTAGCTTGGGGAAACGCAAAAGGAAGGTGGTTCCGCAGGTAGTCCATTACAAGGAGAAGACCATGGGAGGTGATAAGTGAGGAGAATGGGAAGCAGTAATTGTTCAGGTATCCTACTGTCATCATTTTAGGGCCAAAGCAGTGGTGGTGACTTTCGAGTCGCTCTGTTTTGGAACACAGTACAACGGGCACTGTTCATTTAGCTTTCTTATATCCTTGTGTCCTATGGCTCCTTCTCTGCCTCTTTTTCTCCACCTCTGTGATTATAGATGGACCTTAAGTTCTTGCTTGAGTTATAAACTGAAGGGTGAATCAATCTAAGGAAACTGTCATAAGCTCTATGTATTGGGAGAGTAAGCAAAGGCTAAGCTGGTAGGACTTTTCCTCAATGCTGTATATCTGGAACAAAGAGGTCAGAAGTGGCTCAGAGGTGAAATCTTTTAGGCGCAGGGGCCAGTGAGAGGCTCGAGGAGAAGGCAGATTTTAGAAATGTCTCCAGGATGAGCACCAAAGGTCGACATTTGTGTTTGCTAGCATTCAGAGCCTTCGTTAGCATTGCATACTTGTTACTGCAAGTATACAGGCAGTTGTGCTATAGAAGTACTAGTGACGTGGCAGTGAATGCACAGGGGCAAATTTTCCTGGGCTCAGCACTTGTGAAGTGTGAGACTTCCCAAAGATAT